CTTTTAGGCCTGAGGGCCCTGGCTTCCCGGCTCTGGCCTACGCAGCACCACCTGAAGTCCTGCGTGTGTATTTCTTGATTGTGGTGGCTGTTGTTTGAGACCGTGTCTCCTTACGTAGCTTAGCTCGGGCTGGTCTCAGACTCAAGTTCTTCCTTCCGCAGCTTCCCATGCGCTGGGATTATCGATGCGCGCCACCATGCCTAACTCGATTGCTTCTTAAATCTCTTCTTTTTACAATCTCTGCCTCATTATACTACATTTCATAAGGACATGTCAAAATAAAACCCCCTTGTACAACCAATTGATGCTAATAAAAATTGTTTAGTACAGAGCAACACACACATACCACCTACACACTGGTGGTGCCCACCACGGCGTACACACATGCAGGTGGTACGCACACACTAGTGGTACGCACACTCTGGTTCCACAGGGGTCTACAGCCAGGCTGCACTGCCAACACAGCGGTAGAGGCTTCCCCAGCCCTGTGTGGAAGTGCAGGACTCTGCAGAGAGCTGCTCCAAGCCAACCGCCATGAATGAGCAATATGAGTGAGGAGCACTGGGGCCGGGCCTAGGGGCTCACGCCTGTAATCCTAGCTACTCAGGAGGCTGAGATCCAGAACAACAAGGTTTGAGGCCAGACCGGGCAGAAAAATCTGTCAAACTCCATCCCAAAATAACTAGCTAAAAGTTGGTCTAGAGACATGGCTTAACAGGTATCGTACAAGCCAAACAAACTTGAGGCCCCGAGTTCAAAGTGCAAGAGAGAGAGTGGGGGGGAGGGAGAGACAGGACGCATGGGCTTTGTTGCCTAACTTCCATCAATCTCAAATAACCCAGAAGCAAAGCACGCGGCACAGGGCTCAGCCCGAGGGTAGATTCTCTGCCTTGAGCTCCCAACTTTCACCCACTCACAGGCTTCTGCATCATGGCTGACAGAAGGACCGATTTCTCCCAGAAGGACTTAGGAAAGTAGGGGTGGGGAGAAGAGGGTGGTGGATGAAAGTTACCTACCATCCCCCCTGCCAGTTGTCCAAACCCAAATCCCAATTATGGGAGTATGGGGTGGGGAGAGAGAGGGAGAGGAGAGGGGAGGGGAGGGGAGGGGAGGGGAGGGGAGGGGAGGAGAGGGGAGGGGAGGAGAGGAGAGGAGAAGGGAGGAGAGGGGAGGAGAGGAGAGGGGAGGGGAGGAGAGGAGAGGGGAGGAGAGGAGAGGAGAGGAGAGGGGAGGAGAGAGGATGAGAGGAGAGGGGAGGAGAGAGGAGGGGAGGGGAGGGGAAGGGAGGGGAGGGGAGGGGAGGAGAGGGGAGGAGAGGAGGGGGGAGGAGAGACTTTGCTGAGCTATAATTAACGGTCCCTCTCTCTGGCAGAGGAGAAATGCTGAAGTAGGAGAACCGCAAGCAGGTGACGCTACACCTGCAGCCAGTCCGCTGACAGCAGCGAGGCCTGGGCCGCCCTGGGGCCGCGGGGCTGGCGGGGAGGAGGTGTGGGCCGGGCAGGCGCCCCGACCATGCGCCGGCCGGAGCCTGGCTCTTGCTGGGCGCTCAGGAGCGCGCACTCAACCCACCCACTCTGCCCTCCGCGAGTTCCAGGGCAGGCGGGGGAGCCAGCCCGTGCCACATCCACACGCAGCCGCAGCGAGCTCGGGGCTGAGGTGGAAATGGGGTGAGGGGAGAAGCCCCGCGGAGGTGGAGGTGGATCCCGCGGGCCGCCCGCACCAGCCTGTGCTACTCTTCGGGTGGGAAGGGGAACCCGTGGCCTCTTTCAGAGTCGTTGGCGAAGCTTGTGACCACCGGCACTGGACGGGAGCGGCCTCCACGGACCTGGCTGGCAGGAGCGTGCCTGCCGCCACGGGCCGGGAGTGTGGCCCGGCTGCTGCAGGTCAGGACCACGGGCCGGGAGTGTGGCCGGGCTGCTTCAGGTCAGGACGGGAGTCGGGCGTCGGGCCAGGCTGCTGCAGGTCAGGACCACGGGCCGGGAGTCGGGCCGGGCTGCTGCAGGTCAGGAAGCTGGCACACACCTCCACCTCCTCACCCAAGGCAGCTGCCACTCAGTGGAGGAGCAGGCACCAAAGCTCTCAACCCCCTCTTCCCGCCAGACACGCCGTCCAGCCGCCTCCCAGCTTAGCCCGGGCTCCCGCCAGCTGCTGACAACCAAAGCTAGGACTCGGTGGGCACCCGCTGTGTGCCTGCACAGTCCCAGGCCTACCCTATTTTCTCCTGTTTCGATCCTCACAATCTTTACCACATAGGTATAATTATCTCCATGTTTCGGGAAGGAGGTAGATTCATAGGAGTAAGATGATTTTGAACAAAACAAACAAGCACACAAACCAAGTAAAGCCAGGTATCAGTGGCACATGCCTGTAATCCCAGCTACTCAGTGTCCAAGACCTAAGGATCATGGTTCAAAGCCAGCCTAGGCAGGAAGGTCCATGAGATGCCAATTAACCAGCAAAACATAAAAATAGAAATAATCATAAAAATAGAAGTGAAGGTGTGGCTCAAGTGATAGACTGCCAGCCTTGAGCAAAAAAGCTTAGGGACAGCACCCAGGCCCCAGTTCCATCAAAATAAACTACTAAAGACACCCCCGTCCGCCCTAGAATTCCACCCCAGGTAGCATTATTGGTCCGAGTTCTTAACCAACTGAAGTAATTCGCCATGAGAGAAGCAAAGAATGCCGCCTCTGAGCCCGGGGAGCCGCACTGACTTCCAGAGGGGCATAGGAAGTCCCGGGCTGACGCTCCCGCCCGGCCCCGCCCGGCCCCGCCCGGCCCGGTCTGCCCCTTCAGACTCCCCCGCCAGCCTGCTGGAGCCCAGCTGCCCCCTTCCGGCACTGGCCCTTCATCAGGCGCTTGCCCGGCTTCCGATCAGGGCAGCCAGACCCCGGGGCGCTCCAGCCTTCGTGAGGAGGCCCCCCTGCTCCTGCCCCTCGCCTCCTGGGCTCCCCCCCACCTACTTGGCTCGGAGAAAGGCCAGCTTCTTCCTCAGCGAGGACACGCGGCCGTGGCAAGCCTGCCTGACGGCTGCGCTGCAGGACGCGGTCTCCACGCGCAGATTCTGCACCATGCTGGGCTAGGGGGGGAGCGCACACGGCCGGCCGGGGGCTCACGGGGAGCCACGTGGCTCGCTGGGCCCCTGCAGATGCCCCAGCTGCTGGCGAGAACCGGCTCCTGACATGGAACCGCCCTGCTCTGCTGCCCCAGAGGAAACCTGGGCAGGTGGAGGGCCTGGGCCGGGAACCGCAGTCTGCCGCTAACCAGACCCCTGCTGCCTCGGGTCCACACCCCAGGTCCACGCAGAGCCTCCCCTCCCCTCCCACAGCACGGGGCACCTGGAGAGCTCCTCCTTCCCGCTCCCGTCCCCACACCGGCGGAGGGTGCTGGGCAGGCGTGGGTGCCATGTCAGCGGCTGGCGCCGGAGGGGGGGGGCGCCAGGGCCCGCCCCCGATCCCCCCTCCACGTGGTGAAGCATCACCTGAGCGACCAGGGAAGGGACCGTGGGGAATTCAGCGGCCAGCCAGGAAGGCGTTAGAGTGCTCCAGAAATGTGCACGTGGAGACATTTCAGAAATAGAACAAGCAGAACTGGAGATAGCCCTCCTAGCCAGGCATGTGGTACAGCCTGTAATCCCGGCACTCTGGAGGGGCTGAGGTAGGAAGATCCCAAGTTCCAAGCCCAGCCGGGGCTACAGAGCAAAATGCTGCCTTAAACAGAGGAAAGAACTAGAAGAAAATGACTCTTGGAAGTAGAGGTGTGGTAGAGCACCAGCCTTGAGTATAAAAAGCTAAGGGAGAGTACAAGGCCCTGGAGAACCAGAAGGCACGCACACGGGCACATGTGGGCACGTGCATGCACGCACACACACACACAATCAGAGTGGCAGGACGGAGCTGGAAGTCACAGGCCTGTGTGTGCTGGGCCTCAGCTCCCGGGCCCTGGGACCTCAGCTCCAAAGCCCCGGCATCTCCAAACAGCCGCTCACCCCGTGCTGAGCTTCACCCTGCCTTCCAGGTCTCCCTGGCTAGTGGAAAGGCAGAAATCAATCGTGTGCTGATTGCTGCCAAAGAACTCACTGCACCCACCACCAGACCTCACGGTCAGGCCGCACACCTCCTGAGCTCCTGCCTCACCTGACACCTTCCTCTCCTTCATGGCTTACAAGACGTGATGCGCCACAAACGGGGCACTCCAGGGAAGTAAAATTAAGTAAGTTGCTGTGAAAACTATAGTGAGGAGCTGTGTTGTAGTAGCCCATCCTATAATCCCAGCTACAGCAAGGCCGAGATAGAGGAGTGCAATTCCAAGCCAATCTGAGCAGAAAAGCGCACTAGGCTCCATTTCCAATTAACCAGCACAAAGCCAGATTGGAGGCACGGTGGTAGGATACCAACCTAGCAAGTGCAAGGTCCTGAGTTCAAACCTCAGTATCACCAAAAAAAAAAAGTGCAATTAAGGTTGGGGATATAGTGAAGCCCATGCCTAGAAGGTGTACAGCCCTGAGTTTGATCCCTAGTATGTCTAAATAAATGAGTGAATTAACCAATTAACTGAATTTAAGAGGGTGTCAGCCAGCCCCGCTAGACCTTCCTGAAGGCCCACGTTCCCTCATGCGTGGACCCAGGGGCAGGATGCATGGCCAACCTTGCCCGCTCAGGCTCACGCTCCCATTGCTGGTCTCCAGTTTCCTACTGTCCACAGACTTCCTGGGAAGAACAAGTCCTAAAGAGCTTAGAAGCTCCTTGCTCACATCAGTAATCCTAGCTACTCCAGGGGCTGGGATCTGCCGCCTGGCCTCAAATCAAGATCCTCAGATCTCAGCCTCCAGAGTAGCCAGGTTTACAGGCTACTCTGTTTACAGGTTTACCGTGTTCTGCCCTTGGTTTTATCCAAACACAGAGGTCTCCCAAAGTTCTCCCACGGGAGGAGCACCATCTCACCCCGGCCCACACCCCACCAAGGCCCCTTCCCCCCACCCCGCCCTCCTCTGCTCTTACCTTTCCTCTCGGCCTCGAGGACTCAGGAACCTGCTGGAATCATCGTCGTGGCTGCTCTGCTGGCTGCTCTGCTGGCTGCTGGGGACAGACAGGATGTGAGCCGTTAGCCTCAGCTTCCTTCCCAACCCGCAGGAGGTCTTTCAGGTGAGGAAATGCAGTTACAAAACTACATCTGCACGTTTCCCCGTGGAAGTATCACGTGAGCATGCACCGGGTAGGAGAAAGGGCACAAATCCGGAGGACTGGACAAGGAAGGTCCCGCCCGCTGCCCGTCTGTGTCCCTGGGCGCCGTCTTTGGCCAGAGACACCCCAACCCACCTAGATCCCAAGGAACCAGTGTGACTGGGCAGGGGGAGCTAGGCGGGGAATGGGGGTGCGGGATTGCCAAACACCACAGCACAGGAGCGCCTGGTCTTCTTTGCCTCTAGAGGCCGAGATGGGAATAGCAGGGTAGAGTCCTTCATTCTTTTCCACCCAGCAAGAGACAGCTCTCTAAGGGGGCCTTACAAGAGGGCTCCACCAACCCGAACGGCCAGTGTGACTCTCTCCCCAGGCCAGGGCCTGCCAGGCAACCCAAACATACAGCACTGCAATACACTAGAACTGCCCAACAGTCATTCTGAGCTGGTGTTAGCCAGTTAGGCCACCAGATGGCACTATTGCCTCCTAAACCAGCATCATATCTAAAACCAATCCTGAGCATCAAGAACTGGAAACACGCCGGGCGCTGGTGGCTCACGCCTGTAATCCTAGCTACTCAGGAGGCTGAGATCTGAGGATCGCGGTTCAAAGCCAGCCCCGGCAGGAGAGACCGTGAGACTCTTATCTCCAATAAACCACCAGAAAACCGGAAGTGGCGCTGTAGCTCAAGTGGTAGAGCGCTTGCCTTGAGCTGAAGAGCTGAGGGACAGCGCCCAGGCCCAGAGTTCAAGCCCCACGACCGACAAAAAAAAAACAAAACTGGAAACAACCAGGCAAGGCGGTACAAACATGACCCATTACATATGTATTACATATATATGTGTATATAAAGAAACCTGTTACATATGACATGTGATATGTTAGACACAGCATGTTTTATATATATATATATATATATACATATATATATGTTCATACACGCACACGTATACACTGGATGGATTTGGGAGAGGCAGATAGAACAAAAGTCATTATAGCTCTGCTCCACCGCTTGCTTTCTATGCCCCAGGTACGCTGCTAGGGGGTGGAGGGAAGGCTGACCACAGGAGATCCCTCCTGCACAGAGACAGGGGCCCAGGGATGCAGACACCCTAGACAAGGTGCGGGCAGGGTGCTGAGCGGAGGTCGGGGTGGAGTAGCGGAAGGTGACCCCATGGCATCTCCCTCCTCCCCCCTCCGGCACCCAGAGGGGCCCCAGCCTCCCCACAGCCACAGAACCGCGGAGTCGTGGAAGGAAGCGGAAAAGATCGGCGCCGCGGGGACAGGCCTGTAGTCTTAGCTACTCAGGAGGCTGAGAGCGAGAATTGTGGTTCAAAGTCAGCCCTGGTAGAAAAGCCAGCGAGATTCTTCTCATCTTTTCTCCAATTAACCAGCAAAAAGCCAGAAGTGGAGAGATGACTCAAGTGGTAGAGTGCCGGCCCTGAGGCTCTGAGAACCAACACACACGCACTCACGCACGCACGCACACACACGCACGCGCATACATGCACGCGCACACGCACACACGCACGCGCACACACGCACGCACGCACATGCACGCACACACGCACGCACGCACATGCACGCACACACGCACGCACGCACACACACACACACACACATGCACGCATGCACGCACGCACACACACACAGGCTGAAAAGAATTTGGAGCAAGTCCAGCAGATGGCACTGGCAGATAAAAATGTCTGTTGGCTTGAAAAAGAAACCCTAAACAAGGATTTGGAAAGACCATCTAGGCACCAGATGACTGGAAGACGGCTTACGCTGTGGAGGAGATGTAGAAAGCATCTGTTCACCGTTCCCCCAAGACAGCTTGTGGAGACACCGGCACGGTGTCATCTCCCTACTGTGAACTGGCCTCAGTTGCTGTAGAAATCAAGTCTGGAGCACTAAACCATGGGACTCAACACGGCAGCAACCTCTTATAATTCCTGACTACTCCCAAGGGATTCCAGCCCCATGAAATGCTGGGTTTTGTTTTTGTGCCAGCACTGGGGCTTGAACTCACAGCCTGGGCACTGTCCCTTAGCTCTTTGCTCAAAGCTGGCACTCTACTACTTGAGCCAGAGCTCCCTTTCAGGCTCGAAACCCTAGTTTTCTTCAGCAGCAGCAGCAGCAGCATCATGGCAGTGCAGGTCAGAGCAGCCCGGGAAGAGCCGGGGAAATCTAAGCGAAGCCCTGCCCTGAGCCCCACAGGCAGGAATTCACCAGGCTGTGACCAGGAAGCTTGGCAAAGCAGGCTGGGCAAATTCTCATGATGCCTCTGTCCCTCCCCACTAGAGGGACACGTGCACCAGGATGGGCCAAACCCACAAGCCACCAGGAAGATGTCCTTGTTCCCTCTTGCAAGGCACAGCTGGATGGCCAGGGGAACAGAATCCAGCAACATTTCTTTTGCTTTTTCTTTCGCTAAATGTTTGCACTAGCAGTGATTGAACCCAGGGCTTCACATGTACTAGGCAAGCACTCTACCACAGAGCAGCATTCCCAGTCCTTTTTATTGTACTTTAAGGCAGGATTTCACCAAGTTGCCCAGGCTCTCCCTTGAACACTTGATTCCCTCTGGGTTCACTCCCCTAGTTGCTGGAATCATAGGCATGGACATCACAACTCACCCAGCACTCGATAAGCAAGCATGTCCTATGTAGAATGGGCAACACAATAATAGCCTGCTGAATCTGGACGGGGAGTAGAGACTTGAGGAGGGTCCAATCAGCCATGGGGGCGAGCTGGGGTTTAGTATTCAAAAGCACAGGAGGATCATGTCTGAACTCCTAGCTACTCAGGAGGCTGAGACCTGAGGATCATGGTTTGAAGCCAGCCTGGACAGGACAGTCCATGAGCTAAGGAATGGCACCGAGGCCTTGAGTTCAAGACCTAGTACTGGCACAAAAACAAAAAGAAAACAGCTTAATTTTTAAAAAGGCTGGCTGGTGCTCTACCACGTTAGCCACAACACCACCACTGTATTTTTGTGGTTCTCTGTAGATCAGAGCCGGGGGTACAACTCAAGGGAGATCACTTGTCTGCCTGCACAAGGTTCTGGGTTTCACTCCCAGCACCCTCCACATTCAAGAAAAACCCTGGGATGGGAAGGTGGCTCAGTGGTAGAATGCTTGCCTTGCATGCATGAGGCCCTGGGTTCGATTCCTCAGTACCACATAATCAGAAAAAGCTGGAAGTGGCGCTGTGGCTCAAGTGGTAGAGCACCAGCCTTGAGCTGAAGAGCTGAGGGACAGCTCCCAGGCCCAGAGTTCAGGCCCTCCAACTGACGAAAGAAAGAAAGAAGGAAGGAAAGAAAGAAAGAAAGAAAGGAAGAAAGGAAGGAAGGAAGGAAGGAAGGAAGGAAAAGAAAGAGGAAGAAAAGCCCTTGTCAACTTCCCATCATTTTAGGCCAAGTTCACACTCCTCACTTCAGTACAGATACTGTCTCCTATCCCAGACCTGACGGGACGCAGCCCACCCCAGCCTGCTGCCCGACTCTGCCTTGAACCCCTCTTTCTCTGAATCCATCTGGCTTTCCCTGACCCCTTCTTTCCCCCTAGCTCCCATCACAGAAGCAATGTAGCTAGCTTAGCTAAGAATCGAACCTCATGACTCTAGCCTTAGACCACCCACACTCAAATCTCAGCCCTAGACAGCCCCATTCCATCCTCTACCCAGCAGTCTAATATCTACACTATTGATGTCTTAGAAGAATTAAATAGCCACAGACACCTAAGTTATCTGGCATTAAGCAGACACTCGATCTTGTGGCCCTTCTGGATCCTCCAAAAGCAAAACCCGGAGAACTCTCCCTTGATGCCCGCCACGTACTCTGAATTCCTGCTGCCGCTGAGCTGGCCTGTGCCAAGGCAATGCTCCTGTGTCGTAGGGTCCGACAGCTACTCATTCACTAACTAATACTTAATGGCTTACCATGTCTTCTGCCACACTAGAAAGAAGGAGTGCAAAGATCTTTCATTATTTTTTCCAATCCTCGGTGCCTACCCTTCTTGCCTAGCACGTATTACCTGTACAGAATATTTCTGATAGACGAATAGGCAAATCTCTGTGTGTCCTTCCACGCTATATTTATAACGACCTCCATGTCCCAGAGTGTCTGGTCAGTCCAGAAGGACTTCTGGGCTGAGTGTGCCCTCACGCCAGCAGACAGAGCTCTCCTTTTGGTCAACATTTTCTGAAGGTGTTGAAAGTGTCCTGTGAATCCCTCTGGGGTGTGGAAGGGGCAGTGTGACCTCTGGGGTGTCTTTCACTAGTTCATGTTTCCACTGACTGTGCTTCAGGCATTGGTCTAGACTTTGGGGACACGAAAGTAGCCCTTGACATACAGAAGCTACTTCAACAAAACCACCAGTGTGTCCCTAACCAATGCCAGCCCTGCGGTGCCCGTCCTGGGCTAAGACGCTGTAGACCCTCGGCTGTGCAAAGCGAGGAACGTCACCTTGTGCACAGAAGCGCCTCCAGGCGGGCACACAGGCTGGCCAAACACAAGCGCCCGGGAGACCGTGAGGGGACTTGAGATCCAGGGCTGAGACTTGTGAATTTACCCTTCTTTAGGACTGCTCATGCGTTAGAGATGTTCGTGGCAATCCTTGGCTTGTCTGAGCACAGGTATAGCAGAGCTCTGACTGGAGGTGGAAAATTAAATGTTCTTTCCAGTGCTTTGTAAAAGGAAAGATTAAAAATAAAGGGTCCTCACACACAACAAAGCTCTAGGGCTCTCGGCCCACGCAATTAGAAGAATTAGACTTACCCCGTTCCATTCCTGACATGGATTCTGAGAAAGGGGAAGGAGGACTTGTATCAGCTCCAAGCCTTTCCATTTCCTCTTAGCTATGCAGCACTTCCCACACCCCAGGAGCCTCTTGGGCCTC